AAAGGAGGAGGAAAGGAGGAAGAAAAAGAAGAATAAGGATTATAGCGGGAGAGTAGGACGAGGAAAAGGAGCAGGAAGAGGAGGAAGGCAATAATTGGGATAAGTAGACGAAGTAGGAAGCATCAAGAATAATTTGAATGGTTTTCTGTACGTGTAACCGAAAGAGAACAATTAAGCCAATTAGAAGCAGAAAAGTAGCAGGAAGAGAAGGAAAGGAAAGGGAGAAGAAGAAGAAGAAGAAGAAGAAGAATGGAAAAGATGGAAAAGGAAATTTAAAAACAATAGTGTAAGATAAAGGAAAAAGAATCAGAATAAAAATAGAAAGAAGGAGAGTAAATGAGAGAATGAGAGTAAAAAGAAATTGAAAAGAAAGATACAGATGAAGAAGAAGAAGAAGAAGAAGAAGAAGATGAAGAAGAAGAAGAAGAAGAAGAAATGGAAAAAGAAGGGTTGTAAATGAGAGGAGAGAAAAAAGAAATTGAAAAAGGACGATACAGATGAAAAGAAAAAATGGAAAAAGATGTGGAAGAAGAAAAAGAAGGAATGGGAAAGAAGAAGAAGAAGAAGAAGAAGAAGAAGAAGAAGAAGAAGAAGAAGAAGAAGAAGAAGAAAGTGGGCTAAAGAAAAAAAAGGAGAACTTGTAGAGTCAGAAAAAACGAAGATAAGACAAAGAAAACACATGAGAAGGTAAGAGTAAGTAAAAAGACGATAAACATTTTAATTAGATTTCAAACGACTTCCAATTCAATGAGTGAATAGTTTAAAAACTATAGGATTAGTAGAAGCTGAAAATCTTGTTTAAAACTAAAAGCCAGTAGACATCTTTTCCGCCTCTAGCCTTTACTGGAAGCCTAAATAAATTTATCGGACGATTCATTTAGGGAAAGTTGCGGCCTTGCTCGATGATGATGAAGGTAAAGCGGCCTCCAAATGAATTTGCCCGTTGCTCATTCACGCGAATGGCTTTTCTTCTTTATGCTAATGACAGCTAATCGATGTTGATTCGTCCTCAAGAGTAAGAGGGACCCGATGCCGCATGCAAGACTTGTTCCTAATTGATGCCATTGTTACAGACAATGCTAAACGAGCCAGGAATGGTCTATCAGTGTTAAAGACTAGCACAGGTTGGTTTGAGAGTAAACTACAATCGTTGCATTTCGTCTCCTTTTTCAAATGTTCTTCTGGCATCGACTCTCGTCGGAAGAGAGAACAGGAAAGAGAGAGAAAGGGGAAGGGAGAGAAAGGGGAAGGGAGAGAAAGGGAAAGGGAGCGAAAAGGCGAGAAAGAATGAGAAAATAAAGAGAAAGAGAGAAAAATAGAGAGAAAGGGAGAAGAAAAGAACGTATAACAGAGAAAGAAAAGTAATAATACAAAGGGAGAGAGAGAGAGACGGGAAAAGGAAGAGAAAGAAATAAAATGAAGCAAAACAGAAAATACAAAAGGAAACTGAAGAACGGGTTGATTTGATTTTGTTTAGTGGCATATCAACACCTATATGGGTTATTTAATGCCGAAATCTAAAAAGTTTGTTAATTTTATGGCTTCAACTAAATATATTTGGAATGCAATTGAATACCTTCAACTACAGATAAAATTTATTGTTAGTCATTTTGTTTTAAAAAAAGGATTGCTAGTCATTATAAATATGTATGTTAGTAATATTTTTATATAAAAATGTATTGCTGGTATTTTTATAGTGTTTTTATTTTTTAATTTTTATTTATTTATTTGTTTTTTGTTTGTTTGTTTGGGAATTCACTGTTTGCCTGTAGGTGGGACCCTAAAAAGTGCTATCACTCCGGGTCAGGGTGGACCTGGGAACAACAGCAATTAAAAGGTAATTCAACGCTCCTCAAAACCTCCAATCTCATGATCAGAGTCCTTACTGCTGGATGCAGTTTGTAATCATGCCGAGGACTAAAGAACGGGGAAGAAGTTAGTAGAGGTAAAATAGAAAGAAAGTCAAAAGAGAAACTGAGAAAGGAAAAGGAAAGAGATAGGAAGGGAGGGAATAAGTGGAAGAAAAACAGAAAGAGAAAAATTATGAGAGGCGGGAAAAAGAACGAAAGGAATTAAAGTCAGAGCGAAAGAGAGAAAGAGAGAGAGAGAGAGAGAGAAAGAGAGAAAGAGAGAAAGAGAGTGAGAGAGGAAGAGGGTGTAATAAACGAGAGAGGTAAAGAAAGAAGAAAGAAGAAATAAATATGGAAGTGTAAAAGTTTCCAAACACTTGAATCTGTCAAACCTTTCATATGATTTTTTTTTTATCTTTTATCTGTCATAACTTAAACTCCTGAATGAATGCCTGCACGAATTTCTGAAATTTATTTAGATATATAAAAAGTTAGTTAACTGTCAGTATGTGTGGAAATATTACGTAAAACTGAGACATCGAACCAGTTTTATAATTGACGCCAGCAAACTTATGTCTTATATTCTAACTATTCAGAGATCCTTACTTAATGTAGAAAATATTTTGTATAATCAGTTTTATAAATTAAATTTAAAAAATAAGATTCTTTTGTTTTTTATTTTCAACTTTTATATAAAAAAGACATTGCTTGTTAGATGGCTTTTATAATGAAATTGCTTATTTTTTAAAATATAGCAATTTTCTGCTCTAAAAGTGGTAACGACCTTAGCAGTTAAATGAAAGTTTGAAAATAAAGTAATGAACAAAGGAAAGTAAGGAATATTGATATTTTTAGTAGATCATGAACGTTATCCTTTCAAAGTTATATAGTGTTGACAAACAATTATTATATATCAGATCACAATAATTTCTCTCTTTTTATGAGGAATTTTACTGTAGTTAATGAAGGCCCCATTCCGATGACTGGCTACAATTCATTGACGTAGCGATGTAAAACCAGTCAATAATATTTACTTAATATCTACCATTGCTTGTCATTTAAAAAGTAATCTTGTCTGTAAAATACATTATTCGTATTATCCTGATAATGTCATGATATTTTTAAATACATTCTTTGTCGGTAATCTCAAACTAAACATTGAAATCACCGAGCTAATAGAAAGGATTATCTGTAAAAACACTGTTTGACATTCCACACTACTTTGAACAAAAGACTAGAAAAAAAAATCTCTATTAATACTGAAAATAGCGATAACAGTTATAGGACTTGAGAAACCTTTTTAAGGAAACTTGTTTTAAAAAGTGTTATGGTGACATATCTACATTAGAATGAACTCCTTCATAAATACTAACCTGCGAGACTTCCTAAGGGGATAGTCTGAACGCAGTCTTCTGACTGCGACTTCTGTCGAAATCTCTGCTTTGGCAGAGAGGAACCCGTACGAGGCTTTGCCGAAGGACAAAGTTTCGTCCCGGGAGGTAGACAGACCCTGAACCCGTTTATACGGGTTCTAAGGGAATATTTTGGGCCGACTCGGAGAAACCCACACCAAACTCGGCCTTGTGTCACATACATTCCTTGTGAGGGGACTGTTAAATATTGGCACTCTTATTTTGTATATATGTTCTATTATTTCAATACACTTGTCCAACATAGCATCTTTTTTCCCTGTCTTTCTTTCTGGCCTCTAACAGGCCACAACAAAAAGAAAATAATTATAAATTTAAACCTACGATAATATTAGTTGCTCGATCAGTGACTACCTTTGTTGATGTCGACACCCGTTCATCATGCTCTTTCCATATTCCTTTTCTTCTTCCCTGGTGGGGGAGATGGCTGTCAAGCAATCAAGTTTGACGAGGACATTCGAGTGAATTTGCGCGACGGAGAAGCCGACACACAGTGAATGCGTAATGATTCCTTATAAGGGAACGGCTAATATTACCATTATCATTAGAGATGAGGAGAACAGTTACTACGCTTTGATCTCAGTCTGACAGCCAGTAAGCGAAGAAAAGCTTAACACTGGCTGTTCGGTCAATGAAATTATTAATTCTATATTCACTCGCGTAAAAAAAGTTACAATCCAAAATATGTCTTGGCTTTAAATAATCAACAAAGGGTTAATAAACCTTAAAAGCAAATCCATCAATTCGGTAATGAATGCCGAATGTTTCTTATAAGGAAACAGTTTATATCACCATTGTGTTTGCCATTTCAATCTTGTGAACAATATCGAGAGCTTTATTTTTGCGGTTCTTCAACAAGATTTTCTATGTCTATCGGTTTGTGCATTAGAGAGTCTTAATAAAGAAAATATATATACGAATGAAGACAACAAAGATCCTTGAACAAAAAATGAAACAGAGATTACTTCGTTATATTTCATATTCATCAAGAGTAGAAGATTATATTTGAATTCTTGGAAATGTTATAACAGACGGCCGAAAATGTGGCACCGAAAACAGATGACGTGCTCAAATAGGGAAAGATGCCTTTCAAAAAGTAAGCAAAGTATGAAGAAAGGAAAATAAAAAGAAAGAAAGAAAAAGATAACGAAAGAAAGACAACAAAAGATTAAGAAAACAGTGCTCAACTGCTATATGGCAGTGAATGCTAGACATTTTCTTCACAGATGAAAAAGTAACTTGAATCAACAGCGATGCAGTTCTACAGAAGGATGCTGAGAATACCATTGACAGAACATGTGAGCAACGAGGAAGTTTTAAGAAATTAGTAAGTTAAAAGGACGTGTACTTAAAATCAGAACAGCTGTAATTTCTGGGACAAAATGAGAAAAAAAGTTTGTAAAATTTGATATTGGTCAAACATTGAAGTGTAGACGAATGCCAAAAAAGGTATTGGGAAGGATATTAAAGGGACTAATATTGCTAAGTGCTAAAAGAATAGGATGTTGGGGAGAGCTGTGATCGCCCGCGTTCGGAAGGGACACACAGAAAAATATAGTACATTTTAGTGTTGGAAAATGATAAAGAACCTGAAAAGACTTGGCTAGAGATCAAATGTTCCAGTTTTGCATTCCAGGCGTGAATTTGTCGGTTAAAGAAACAAGGTTTTACCCTAAAGGACTAGAATGCATATCACTTGATCTCTTGTCTGGACGTATGG